GGCCTTGCCCCCTCACCCGGCTGGGGTCCGTCGGCCAGGCACCAGTGCCCGCTGCCTGCGCACCCCTCTCAAGCTCTTCCTCTCTCCCCCAGACCAGAAGGCATAGAGCGGCAGTTCAGGAAGAAGTGTGGCAAGTGAGTGTGGCTCTTCAGTGACTTTCCGAATCTGTGAGGTAACCGTAGGATCCCAGAATCCGGGTTCCATCACAGCCACCTGTGTTTCGGTTTCCAGATGTGGACTGCTGCTCTTTTATCAACACCAACAGAAAAATGCTCCTGTGACGTTCATTGTTGACGGTGCTGTGGTCAAATTTGGCCAGGGTTTTGGGAAAACAAACATCTATACTCAGAAACAAGAGCCTCCCAAAAAGGTAATTGGTGTTAGAGAAGTAAAAAGGCTATCTCTGCTTTTCAAAAAAGTGTGGGGAGTAAAATCACTTAATGGTGGGGGCAGAGGAGAGAAAAAAAGGAAGAAAAGAACCACTAAAAAACAACTTAGTTTGGTGTCTTCTCCCTGTCTGCCTTAAGTTTTCCTTTACAGAGGCCACTGCAGCTTAGGGTCCTAGCACTAAAGGAAAGCAAAATAAACTTGGAAATCTAGACACTGCCGGATGTTTAGGCTCAGTTACCAGAAAGTTTCCATTTGTAAGTAGGTCAGATTAGCAGTCTGCACAGTGATTCTCAAAGTCTGGCTCATCTGTTATATATCAGTGACTTTGCTTCTGCTCTAAGCCCAGAAATCACTGGGGATAATTCTTCTTTGCCACCCACGGAGTTCAGGTAATCTTAACGACTTGCATGAGAAGCCTTGAAAGCTTTGAAGGGGAAAGCGATCCCTTGTGGCACAGCTTTTGCCAAGGTTTAACAAAATACTCTGTTTCTCACCCAGGTGATGATGACCAAACGGACCAAAGACATGGGCAAGTTCAGTTCTGTCACTGTCTCCACAATTGATGAAGAGGAGGAGGAGATTGAAGCGGTGAGTTTTGTTGCCCTTAGCGGCAGGCACATCTGAACTGGGTGGCTGCCTTGGACGCTGATTGGAGCTGGTGATCGTCTCATCGTTTGGATGAGGTGATGTTGCTTTGGGGTTTGTTGTTGCAAAGTGACCTTGTATGTGTTTCAGAGGGAGATTGCAGACTCCTATGCACAGAATGCAAAAGTGATTGAGAAACAGCTGGAACGCAAAGGCATGAGCAAAAGAAGGCTACAGGAGTTGGTGAGTGTTTTCTTCGGTGTTGAACGCAAATCCCTGAGATCTGTTGGCTTTGTACCCAAAGACAGGACTACAAGTATAGAGAGGTCCTGGTACAGTCATAGGTAACTTGTAGCTTCATGAGGATGACTTTTCCTGTACAGGTTTTACAGAGATGTTCTGCTAGTCCTCCTGAATTTAAAATCATACACAATTACCTATAAAGCTAACTGAAGAGCATCTAGCATAGCTTTTGCAAGGAGACTTTCCATGACCTGTTGGACAAGGAACAGGGAAACCAGGCCATGGCTTTGCCAACCAGAGCACCTCTAATGCTGTGCTCTCAAGCCTGCTTTGGCTTTTGCCATGGGGCATCAGGGCAAGCTGAGGCCCTTGTGGAGGACCTGCCAGCTCAGCTGCTACCAGAAGGGTCACTGGAATAATTAATGGCAAGAACATCACAGCTGATCTTACCTGCTGTGACAGGAGAGTAGTAGATGGGAGGTGGAAAATGTGCGGTTTCCACCTGAGGATAGAAAGTATGAAATTGTCTCCTGTGCAGTTAGTTTTGGGCTTTTTGTGATTTTTTTTAAATGTGGTCCTCCTTTTGTGCGTCAGGAGAGGGGAGAGTCAGCAAAGAGCATGAGCTGCTCTTGCTCCTGGTGTGAAAAGCTTGCAGTGGTCAGACAAGAAGACCAAACATCATTGGAGCACTGAAGGGAAACGTATCCAGACATTACTTCTTTCTGTCTTAATTTTCTTAATCAGGCTGAGCTGGAAGCCAAGAAAGCCAAGATGAAAGGAACCCTGATTGATAACCAGTTCAAATGAAACACTGCACATCTGCTGAGTATTCAGAGACAGGAGAAAGCTACCAGGAGCTATCGCAGATCTGTCAACCAAGCAGAAGTAACAGACAATGTTCAAGGGCAATGCTTGGAGGTGCTGCAACCAGCTTGGAGGATGAGTACCTCTCTGACATAAGTGATACTCTGGTACCAATTTTAATAGCTCCAATGGCACTGGAGACTGCTGAAACTGCAGTTCTCTACATGTTATTCTGTTTCAGCCAGAATATTTACATTTGGGAAAATCTTCTCTGGGTGCCTTCCTGAGTTCAGTGCACCTTTAGATACCTGTCTTTTTATTTTGTTAGTTTTCAAATGTGTAAGATTTTCATAAATGTATTAGAACAATAGGCCAATTGTACAACAAAGAAATCATTACAGAAGTAAACTCTGTGCTGCTTGTTCATTTCGTTATTTTAAATGTGCCCAAAATGTGCAGCAGCCTGAGACACACGCCCTTCCAACGCAGTCTGGAACAACTCGAATGCAAGGCTTGGGGATCATGCTGCTGCTCAGACAGCATGCTGCTGCTGCTCACCCTGACGGTTTGTCAGAGGTGCCCAGCATGGGCTTGGCTGTAGCTCTAAGTCTCGGCTCCTATTGAACATTGGAAACCCCCAGCTGTACAGAATTACACTGCTCCAACAGATACTGCCTGATACAAGAACATGAAATCCAACCCTGTCTTAAACTACTGAAAACAAAAACTGCCAGCATATTATACCACTAATAAGTACAAATATATAGTTGGCAGCTACTGATACAATTGGTGATCATTTACAGTAGAATACAACGGCACGTCTGAACTAACCTATTCTGCAAAACAGTATCAGTATTTGGAGTTGTAAAATGTGAAGAAGGAAAAATTGTTTTGAATGCACTGACCACTAAGGCCTTGGATAAAGACAACATTAAGAATTGGTGTGTAAAGTACCTTGTTTGGGAAATAATATTTTGTGTCTCTTGTGTGATGTCATAACAGTGCTCTATAGCCTGTGTTTTTATTGCTGTACTTGGGATTAAATACCATGTTACAGATTTGAACTAAAATACTTTTCCTAGGGTGTTCTTACTTTACCAGGTATCATAAAATAACACAAACAATGAACAAGATGCTTCATCTCCCACAATTATAATGGAAGACTTCCTCTATTCAGTAAAGATTTTCCCCTCCGGCTTTGTAACCCTGACTGGGAAAACTCAGGTCTGCTTAGCTGAGGGATGTATCTTCCTTTCTTTGGGAAAATAAGGTATAAGGGAGGGAAGTGAACTCTGCTCCAGAGCTGGCCAGCTGGGATGCATCAGTCATGTGCCAATTTAATGCCAGCCTGGGTAAGCACTTGTTCAGGTTAACTCGAGCAGTGCTGGTCTTGTTCACTGCTTATTATCTGCTAATCTGAGGCCTATTTCCAGAAGCCTATGTTCAGAGGCTCTTCAGTTAAGCAATTATAAGGTGGCTTGTAATACTTGGGAAGGGCAGGAGGAATGAGTAGCTACAACCCTGTTACACAAACCCTTTTTCCAAGTGTGTAGCACAGTCCAGCCAGGTGAGGTCCTTGAGGTTCCTCTGGGGGTGACCCAAGCTCCAAATGGCTGCAGGTTGGTCTCTATAAAAATTAGGAAGTTTTTTCCAAGCAGGAGTCAAAGACTTGGAAATTTGAAAATAGGTTTTGAACCACACGAGGTCTGCTGGGATGACGATGTCTTAGTCTCCAGTTGTCATGAAGGATGAAGCATGGTTCTGCTTCAAGTGACACCCAGAACAAAAGCTGACTCGAAGATAGTGTGATTTACTGTTAGCGTTAAGGAGGCTAGGACAATCTTCACAGTTTGGTGAGGTACACAGAAAATTTGGTGAATGCACAGCTCAGCACAGGTTGTCCAAAGTAGCAGTTACTGACTGCCATCAACTTCCTCAGCCTGGAGAAGCAGCATGGCACAAGCACTCCTCCTTTCTGGGTTCTAGAAGACCAGCCCATGTTCAGTCAGTGGTTTTCATTCTTTTCATTAGAGATCTGCCTAGTTCGGCTCAGGACTCACTCACAGACCCAGTCAGAAAGGGGAGGATGTAGTTTGTCAAGCTAGCCACCTCCAAGATACTTTTAATACACTCTAATTACGCAGTTTATGGCTGGAACAACTACAACACAGAGAATCTGAGACAATACATTGTTAAGTATGTATTTCTTAATTAAAATTGTTGTGAACTAGATCTAGTTAAGTTGGATTCTTTGTTTCTGGAGCTAAATGAATTATAAGATGTTAGCTGACTGCAGCAAAAGGAAGCAGGGACCCCAAGCTGTGTGGTGCGGTTGATGTGCTGGAGAGAAGGGATTCCATCCAGAGGGACCTTGACAGGCTTGAGAGATGGGTCCGTGTGAACATCATGAAGTTCACCAAGGCCAAGTGCAAGGTCCTGCACATGGGTTGAGGCAATGCCAAGCACAACTACAGGCTGGGCAGGGAATGGATCAAGAGGAGCCCTGAGGAGAAGGACTTGGGGGTGTTGGTAGATGAGAAGCCAAACACATTCAAATGTTTGATTAACTGTCCCATTGTAACAGATAAAACTAGCCGTTCTGTAGAGTGTCTCACACCCTGATAGCAACTGGGTAATCTGCAGTAGTGTTCAGACCAAAGAAAGGTCAGGTTTTGTGTTACTGTAAAAGCCAACATTAGGCTTTTATAAATCTGTAAATACAGGCAGGTGATAGATTTGTTTGTTTACCTGAGCACTACACTGTACGGGCCTTTTGCGAGTCAGGTCCTTGAGGTGGGATGCTCTCCATTGCAAGGCCTGGTGAGATCCAGGCACCAGCCCCTGCAGCGAGAGGTGCAGCAAGGGGTCCTGGGGAAAGCTTTCAGACAAGCCTCTACTTCCTCAAGAGTGGGTTTACTCCTTGCAACACAACTGGTTTCCAGGAGTGGGTTTACTCCTTGCAACACAACTGGTTTCCACCGTGCCCCTCCAGCTGAGGCATCTCAGCCCCAGGGCTCAGCTTTGCTGCACACAGACCCTGCACTGAGCTCGCCAGGCGCTGGGCACGGCTTGCAGGAGGTCGGGCTTCAGCGGCACTTCGAAGACAGAGACGTGAAGATGGAAGGGTGAGGTAGAAGTGTGGCTCTGTGCAGGGTCGACACGGGCAAAGTGAGCCTGGGGCTGCCTGCCTGCCTGCTGAGGCATGCCCCAAGCCTCTGCTCCCCGCCTGCGCTGGGTGGATGAAAATCGCTCCTGCCTGCATGTGCCTGCTCGCCCCTGCTCCTACTGGGACACCCCAGCCATGATGCTCCCCTTTAGTTTCCACAGCTCAGCCTAGATGTGGGGTGAGATGGGGACCAGGGGACACTGCTGTCCTCCCTGGTCACTGCCTGGCCGCACTCCAGTCTCCAGCAGAGGCAAGAGCAGGGAAGCTCAGCCATCACACCTCCCTTCTGCTGCCCGAGGCGAGCCCCAGAGCCCTGCTCCCAGCGCTGCTGCCATTAGCACCTCCCAAATCCTAGGAAGAGGGCAGCTGGCCCTGCCTCACCTTGCCTGGCGCCCAAACCTCCAGGCGAAGGGTGGTCCTCACAGCCTCCAGCACAGCCAGTGAGGTCCCAGCCCTGCAGAGCTGGTCAGGAGCATGGGCAGCCCCATCCCGCAGCCCCTCGGCACTGCGGGCAGCCCAGGCTGCACACCGAGCCGTTCCAAACATCCAGCACTGCTCGCCACCAGCCCCAGCCACTGACAAGTGTTTCATACTATCCTGTGCGCAAGCCATGATGCATCAACACCTCCTAAGCCTGCGATTTACAGCCGCTGGGCGAAGGGCCAAGATGAAAGCAGCATTACAGGCGCTTGCCCACCCTTTCCCTCCAGCAAAGGGCCCAATACACCAGGTTGGGCACCGCTCCCGAGGAGGAAATCGTGACATAAGAGATGTTCGGTACTCCCCACAGGAGAATCGTTTAAAAGGAGAATCCCCCCCTTGCCCCTGCCATCCTTGGGGCAGCAGAGTCTGGTGGGCAAAACACTCGTGTTGGAGGGACTGCACTCGGCTTGCTGGCAGGCCCCTGTCCCTTTCCTGTGCCTCAGTTTCCCTGCAAGAACAAAGCCCTTAATGTCTCTGTAATGTGCTCCTGTGGCAGGC